TAAAAATGTATCAGTGACTGTGAGTTTTGCAAACGTGTCATAAGAATGTTTTATTAGTGTTATTGTTAACCCCACCAAGAATATTTAAATACACTGAACCATGTGTTCAGCTTTAATGGCTGTACTCCTGAGATTTACAGAGGAAAAAATCGTGAGAATGAGTTTAGTATTTAGCTATGACTGATTAAACGCGCAAATACTTCATTGCTCCTGAGAAACAGGTTACACTGAGTGGAGCGGTCGACCGTTTCAAGATGGCGGCGCTACAGCTCATCAGCGCCAATAGACGACAGCGGTCAATGCTGTATCTAGTCATTTATGATATCTATGTCTGTAGTCCCTTCTAAAAACGTCACTGAGTAAACTTAACGTTTTCTATGCGTATTTGTAATTTTTATGTACCGTCTTCGATTGGTATAATAGCTAAGTTCATACCAAAATATGTTTCATTTGAAATAACTGCATTTTTAAAGAAGTGAATCCTTTTTTGTCGTTCTTGGCATGTTGCATCACTTTAGCACATTTGTATAGTGCCTTAAAATAAAAATCTATTTATGTGTTATTTTTACGTAATAACTACTAATTATAGTTTGCTTTACTGTAATTTTTTTTACAAACATTTTATATTTAGATTATTTTTATTAAAAAATAACCGTAAAATGTTCAGAAATATCGAACGAAACATTTTTCAACAGGCAAAATCTTTGAACCACTAAGAGTAGCCGCAGTTCTTCGCGTCTGTTTAGCCAGCTGTCAGTTTGTACTGGTGCCATAACATTTATGTTTCCTCTCAGTATTTACCTATTTCAGGACTTTTAACAAAGGCTTCGACTGTCAAAATGCCAAAAGGGGGTAAGTCTAATGGTAAAGTTTCTTGTAATTGCGTTAAACTCGTTTTTTTCTCTTTTTGGCCACCAACAACCGCCCGGCTTCTTCGGCATAGCGCCCGTTAACTTGTGTAGAACTGCGCTTGACTTGTGTTGAAAACAACAAACCATCGCTAAATCAATGCGTGTTTCTGAACTGAACTGTGTCGTGTCTCGGCCGTCTGTTCGCTGTTCACCACCCCTCTTGTACAAAGTGTATTCAGACTTGCGGGTGTGACGTCATATGTCATCTTGTTTCAGGTAAAAAAGGTGGCCACAAGGGTCGCATGCGCACGTACACTAGCCCAGAAGAGATAGACGCTCAGATGAAGGCGGAAAAAGAAAGGAAAAAGGTGAGTGATGGGGTGAATACTCAGTGTCTGCAGTCAGAATTCACACCAATAGAGCAAACACTTTTTTTTTTCCTCAGTGTAATAATTTATGACCAAGTAAATAAATACCTGGACAGGTAGGATTGCTTCATTTAGATAAAAAAACAGCACTTCTCAGTTTGTAAGAACTGAAAATTGGATATGATAAATTAAATCAGCTGCTCTGCCCTTGGGAGTTTTGGTGGTTTCTTCTCTGAGTTAGGTTTTTGTGTTGCTCCTGTTTAATGAATTTGATGTTGTCTCATACATATCACCTGTCTGCCTTGGTGTTGTGTGATAGCATGAACAAGAAGCAGGAGAGGATGAAGGAGCAGCTCAGAAAGACGAGGCAGAAGAGAAACTACCAGGATCGGACTCGGAGGATAGCGATGATGAAGATTCTCAGGTATCGGTGTACTGTTTTCACCCCATAATAGGTTAGTATATGTTGTGCACATGTAAGTAATTCAATAAATTTGTTGGTCATTTTCTTACGTTTGCAGAGGAAGAGAACAGGTGTAGAGGGCTTGATAGAAATTGAGAACCCCAACAGAGTGACCCAGAAGTCCAAGAAGGTGACGCAGATCGAACTGGAGGAGCCTCGGCAGTTATCAAGAAGAGAGAGGTGTGTGTTTCCAGTCTGTCCCATTATAGTGTGGGTTAGATTATTTAAACACACAGCTTTAATTAGAACATAAAAAACTGAACCAGTGTAACCTGTTTTAAGTTGAAGCAGAGCACTTTAAAATCTGAGAAAGGCTTAAAGCTTCAAAATGTTGATAGTTGCAGTAAAAGCACACTAACCAGGATAACTGACGAGGATTTTTATTTATTTATTAACTGTAAAGCTGCAGAATTGAAAGTTAGATGTTGTCTCAAACATTAAAATGATATAATTTAAGTTTTATAACCACGTGACTCATTTCCCTGAACAGAGAAGAGATTGAGAAGCAGAAAGCGAAGGAACGTTACATGAAGATGCATTTGGCAGGGAAGACAGACCAGGCCAAAGCCGACCTCGCCCGCCTCGCTATTATCAGGAAACAGAGGGAGGAGGCAGCAAAAAAGAAAGAAGAGGAGAAAAAAGGTGTGTAGACTGGGACGATGGTGCATTTTTTTAAACGGCTACAATAATCAAAAAGAGACTTTAGTGACTAGCACACGGTAAATATTCATATTTATAAGCCACCAAAATACAATGAACACATCTGGTTGTTTTTTAAACAGAAAAGCCACAATGTATGTTTTAGAAAACATCAAATATCCATGAAGTTTTGACGCTTAGGATATTCAGTAAAAGATTCCAAAAAAGTTGGGACACTAAACAAATTGTGAATAAAAACTGAATGCAATGATGTGGAGATGGCAAATGTCAATATTTTATTCGTAATATAACATAGATGACAGATCAAAAGTTGAATCTGAGTAAATGTAACATTTTAAAGGAAAAATATGTTGATTCAAAATTTTACAGTGTCAACAAATCCCAAAAAAGTTGGGACAAGTAGCAATAAGTGGCTGGAAAAAGGAAATTGAGCATATAACGAACAGCTGGAAGACCAATTAACACTAATTAGGTCAATTGACAACATGATTGGGTATAAACAGAGCTTCTCAGAGTGTCAGTGTCTCTCAGAAGCCAAGATGGTAAGAGGATCACCAATTCCACCATTGTTGGGCAGAAAGATAGTGCAGCAATACCAGAATGGTGTTACCCAGCGTAAAATATCAAAGACTTTTAAGTTATCATCATCAACCGTGCATAACATCATCAAAAGATTCAGAGAATCTGGAACAATCACTGTGCGTAAGGGTCAAGGCTGTAAAACTCTACTGGATGCTCGTGATCTCCGGGCCCTTAAACGTCACTGCACCTCAAACAGGAATGCCACTGTCAAGGAAATAACAGAATGGGCTCAGGAATACTTCCAGAAAGCATTGTCAGTGAACACAATCCACCGTGCCATCCGCCGTTGCCAGCTGAAACTCTACAGTGCAAAGAGGAAGCCATTTCTAAGCAAGCTCCACAAGCTCAGACGTTTGCACTGGGCCAGGGGTCATTTAAAATGGAGTGTGGCAAAATGGAAGACTGTTCTGTGGTCAGATGAGTCACGATTTGAAGTTCTTTATGGAACACTGGGACGCCATGTCATCCGGACCAGAGAGGACAAGGATAGCCCAAGTTGTTATCAACGCTCCGTTCAGAAGCCTGCATCACTGATGGTATGGGGTTGCATGAGCGCTTGTGGCATGGGCAGCTTGCATGTCTGGAAAGGCACCATTAATGCAGAGAACTATGTTCAGGTTCTAGAACAACATATGCTCCCATCTAGTCGTCATCTCTTTCAGGGAAGACCCTGCATTTTTCAACATCATAATGCCAGACCACATTCTGCAGCAATCACAACATCATGGCTACGTAGGAGAAGGATCCGGGTACTGAAATGGCCAGCCTGCAGTCCAGATCTTTCACCTATAGAGAACATTTGGCGCATCATAAAGAGGAAGGTGCGACAAAGAAGGCCCAAGACGATTGAACAGTTAGAGGCCTGTATTAGACATGAATGGGAGAGCATTCCTATTTCTAAACTTGAGAAACTGGTCTCCTCTGTCCCCAGACGTCTGAGTGTTGTAGGAAGAAGGGGGGATGCCACACAGTGGTAAAAATGGACTTGTCCCAACTTTTTTGGGATTTGTTGACGCCATGAAATTTGGAAACAACAGATTTTTCCCTTTGATCTGTGATTTGTGTTCTATTCTGAATAAAATATTAGATGTTGGCACCTCCACATCATTGCATACAGTTTTTATTCACAATTTGTTTAGTGTCCCAACTTTTTTGGAATCCGGTTTGTAGTATTCCTTTAAATTATTGCCCAGAGCATCTAGCAGAGTCAAAGTTGTATCATTCAATCTTATTTAACTACACATTTTTAATGAAAGTAATCTGGGCTCATAGTTATCAAGAGTCTGAATCTGTCGAGTGTTTCTTGAAAATTAAAACCTTTCCAGCTCGGTGACGAAGTGAAAGTCATTTCATGAAGCATTCTGCAACAATGCCATTCATGCGTTCAGCCTTACCGTGAACTGCAACATCTCCACTTTCACTTTTAGATTCTTAAGTTTCATTTAAACCCACAGTTTCTAAACTTCAACATTCAGATTCACAAAATAAAAGCATCAGACTTGCAGCCTCAACTGTCGGGCATTAAAGTACACAATAAACCAGTTAAATAATATTATGACAATACAAACAGCCTTATCAACTATTATACTAGTTGTATTAATTTGTAATGACTGTTTTTGTCTTTTGTTGAAATTGGAGTAAAATAAATTTACGATTAGCAATAATTTTTATATTTTAGTTGATTTCTTAAGACCCCTTCTTGTTGGGGTCCTGCCCCAGCTTTGGAAAACTATGGATTTAAACATAATTCTGGTCCTCAGGTCATGATATCAATATATTTATCATAAAATCAGAAAAATCAAATGTAGCTAAGGGGTAAATCACAGTCCAAGCACAAGTCACCAAGCTTTACAGATATAAGTGAGAAAAAATAAGGTTTATGTTTGGCTTATTTAATCTGCAACCCATGACCTGTGGGTCCTTTTTTAGAACTGAGGAAAAAACTGAGAGTTTACAATAATTTTTTGTGTTGATCAGTTATGAAGGATTTTCTTTGTCATAAGTTTAATTAGTTTGAACCGTAGACATACTGTAAGTATACCGCTGAGCAGAAATGGTCTTCTGGTGATGATGAATCTGTCGTTAATCTAATCCTCACATTATAAGTATTTTATTTGGAACTTGAGACCAGTTTGTTACCAAACAGCCCTAATTCCAGGTCTCGTATATCTTCAAAGCATCTATAATGTGCAGCATGTCAATCTGACTCTGTGTCTTTTCCTTCTCCTACAGTGAAAGAAGCAGCAGTAGCAGCAGCAGCTAGAGGAGTAAACTCCCTCTCTCTGAAATGATGCAGAGTATTTATCAGAAACGTTTTATTTTATTCATGGACTGGCCCAATACGCATTAAAATATTTTTAAAGGATGAGCTATGAAGAGGATTTGACTTTACTGTCACTTTGAAGATTTGGAAAATGGCTGGACAAACGCCGCTCTGTAGAGGGGCTGCTTATATTTGAGCTTGGAGTAAAGGCCTCGACGCCTCCAGGAAGTAAAGCTACATGAGAGAGCATCGATCTTCACACACTTGGAATGAACTCCATGATCTTAACCATGCGTTTACTTATCACTGTACAAATTCAAACTTTGCTAACAGAATTTTGCCACTATTTTTCTTTTGATCTTACATTGTATATAATTAACGCATAAAGAATTCAGATTAATATTATGACTCAAGTAAAGTGTGTTTGCTCATTATTTTCTACATTTATTGATGGAAACGTGACGTTAAACCAGCTGAAGTCTTTTTCCAGTGTTATTAATCGACTTGAAGAAGTGGACAGATTTAAGGTTTGGACCCAAATAACTGGGATCTGGTTCAGAACTGGTTCTTCCCAAACTCAGCTGCAAGAGTCCACTGATACCAAAATGGGTTGAGTCAACATTGGAAGTGTTTGAATAGGTGGCCTAGAATAGAAATATTTAAAACCTATGCTCAGATATGTTGTAACAATTATACATATATAAATGGATTTATTTTTATTTTGTCTTGAAACACGCATGTTTTAGGTCATGTGTAATGACACAAAGGACCTCAGTGTTTTTTAAATTCTGACAGAGGCCTGGAGAAAATTAAAAATTTAGTTCTACTTGCATCTCAATACTGAAGCATGAGTCATATATCACATTTGCAACATGAGAACAGGGATAGACTCCGAGCAGAGGGTGACGCTGCAGCGCCGGATATGCTGCTGAAATTAAAAGCGAAGAAGAAGAAAAAATACGCATTCTGATTGGTGGAAAGTTTGGCGGACTTTGGTCTGCTGTATCGATCAATCTGTGCTTGTGGGTTGATTTCAGTTCTGTTTAACACTTACAGCAGTCTTTTGTTCGTCGTCTGGTGAGTCTTTTTTTATATATTTACCTCCCAAAACAAGTCACTGAAGCAAATGTTTGAGGAAGCGAATAGAAACGTAATATAAATAGAAGCACGTGCTTTGCGTTTATTGTTTCTGCTGACGCAGTTTTGCTGCAGCTGCTCTAACAGATGGCACCAGCTCGCCACTTTAAGCTAATGCGTTTCTTGTCAAAACAACAAATTAACAAAATAGTTTTGCGTGAGTGTTATTCTGAACACTTGTGAATATTTTGAAAGACTAAGTTTCTCCTAGTTAGAGTAAAAGTAGTATGGGTCGTTGTAGAGGCACTCCTGTCTTGCAGAAGCACAGTTTTGACAGGTTTCAGGGTCATTGCGCGCAAATCCATGTAATAACACAAAGGTCAACAGAGATGGGGTTGTGTCACACCATAACTGGGGGTTGCAGCGTTGCATTCATGTTGACAGATTTGTGTAACTCTTTGTCTGAAACGTTTTGTTGTTAGATCAACTGAACGGCCTTTCTTTTGGTTTTATTATGTTTTTAAGCAACTTGTTGGACATGCATGGATAGGTCATTCTTGTAAATTTCTTAATGTTGGTGTGGCTGTGGAGGTATCTAGTTTATTTTCAGTTGACCTTTACTTTTAGATTTCCATTTTGTGTGAGCAAAAACAAGAACCATGTCTCTGACAAATGGCCACAGTGTGAGTAAAGAAGCATGGGACTCTCACAACAAGATGATGCTGGAGCCTCTGGCCATCAGTGACTCAGAGGTTTGTTTGAGTTTTAAGATCATTTGACATTAATCTGTGAATATTGGTAAAATATATATATATATATATATATATATGTATGTTTGCACCACTGTGCGGCACATTGTTTCTGTAATCCTGGGTCGTTTGTGTTTCAGGTGTTTTCCATCATTAAAAAGGAGAAGCACAGGCAAACATATGGTCTAGAGCTGATAGCATCTGAGAACTTTGCCAGCAGGGCTGTTCTTGAGGCTCTTGGTTCTTGCATGAACAACAAGTACTCCGAGGGGTATCCTGGCCAAAGGTACAACACTTAGTTCAGTTTTGAACAAATATATGAATATTTTAAATACAGCTGTGTCTAATAATCATGATGCATGTATTTAGGTACTATGGTGGTACAGAACATATTGATGAGCTGGAGAGACTCTGTCAGAAGAGGGCACTGGAGGCCTTTGGTCTGGATTCTGAGAAATGGGGTGTAAATGTGCAGCCATACTCGGGTATCATTGAGCTGGAGTGTTGTAGTCAGCCTCTGCACATTAGTTCTTTGTTATTCCCTTTTTTATCATATTGTCTTCATGGTTTTCTCTAAGGATCTCCGGCTAATTTTGCCGTCTACACGGCTGTCGTGGAGCCACATGGCAGGATCATGGGACTGGACCTTCCTGATGGGGGTCACCTGACACACGGCTTTATGACTGAGAAGAAAAAAATCTCTGCAACGTCCATCTTCTTTGAATCCATGCCTTACAAGGTGAAAAGATGCAGCTTAAAGCAGAATTTAATGACAAATATTTAAACCTCTGTTTTTAGGCATGCATGCATGACAAATTTTTTTAAGTATACAAGAGTAGTAAAATGCCATTCAAATTTGAGAGTTCAATCTTCAGCCGTGACACATGTCAAAATGTTCTTTCAAAATAAACTAACCCCACTTATACTTAGTGTTGGAAAGTAAAAATGCTGTTAATGCTGTGAAAATTGAATTGCTTTGTGAAAGCAGTTTGTAAAGCCTTACATTTTTAAGGTGATTTATTAGTGGGGACCATTTAAAATTAGCATTCCTTGAGGGGATGCATATCGCCACCTTCAGAATCAGAATACCTTTATTGTAACAAGAACAAAAAATTATGTTGTCAAAGATTTATAAAATGATTTTTTAAAAAGATACAAAGAAAAATATAGGCGGATAAAAAAAATAACAGTCATTCTATTATACATGAAAGAGATTATTGTAAAAAATGTGTCATCGCCAAAGTTGTAAAGATCTTGCTGGTTTTGTTCACGCTCAAACTACATGTTGAGAATGTCTCCGCTACTTCTTTCAACTGCTCCCTCTTACTCTTATGAGTCATCATCCTCCATCTCACTGTCCTCACTCCAACTACCTCCAAGTCTAACTGGGTGAGAGAAAGACGACTCTGTTGCCACCACTTCAACTTTTATTTCATTGTAAAATTAGCAGAGTTGTTGCTATTTTTGTGTTTATTAATGACAGTCTTGAATCCTAAAATTAGTCAGTTGTACATTCAATTATCACATTTTGAGAGTCATTAAAATCTGCTCACTAGTTTGTTGGATATTTTGCTAACAAACAGACAAATAAATTGATAATTGCCTGCTTTCTATGACCTCCTGATGTCCCTTAATTTTATTAACAGCGTGTCAGCGTTAAACTCAATAAGCATCAAAACATCATTCTGAGTATCTATGTTTATAATCTAATAATAATAATTAATAGTTTTTTTTTTGTGATGCATTGTTGCAGTTTGTGCCCTATTGTCAGGTTTAAGTTTTTACAGTTTATACAAGAAATATTCAGTAAATAAATTATGTTCAACATCTAAGATACAGATCAGAAAGTTTTTAACTTGAACAAAATTCTCAGACCTCCATATACAGAGTTGTGTTCATGCACAATAAGTCTGTATATTCTTTACAAAAGTTTTTTCCTTCTGTTTTTAAGGTGAATCCTGAAACTGGTTACATTGATTATGACAGACTGCAAGAAAATGCTAAACTGTTCCACCCCAAGCTCATCATTGCAGGTTCTTTAATGCACACGTACAAGTTCTTCTGTAAGAGTAGTTCACAGAAAACTAATTTTTTTTTTCCTTCCCCTTTTCAGGAGTAAGCTGTTATTCTCGCAACCTCGACTACGCCCGCTTGAAGCAGATTGCTGCTGAGAATGGTGCATATCTAATGGGAGACATGGCTCACATCAGTGGGTTGGTGGCTGCTGGAGTGGTGCCCTCGCCCTTTGAGCATTGTGACATTGTTTCCACGACGACTCACAAGACGCTGCGTGGCTGTCGTGCAGGAGTAATTTTTTATAGGAAAGGTAGTCTGCCAAAATAAATGTTCAACAGTTTTGTAATATATATTCATTTATTTTATTTTTCCTCACATTTAAACCTAACATTGTAGTTATTTCTCCATTTCACCCTCCACCAGGTGTAAGGAGTGTGGATGCCAAAGGAAAGGAGACGCTGTACAACTTGGAGTCTTTAATCAACCAGGCTGTGTTTCCAGGGCTGCAGGGTGGACCCCACAATCATGCTATTGCAGGTATCCTCATTTATTATTTATTTGCTTGTTGTCAGATTAATCTTGACAGCTGTCAAATGATGACATCAGTCTCACGGAGGTAAACTTTCACCGGCAGGTGTTGCTGTGGCTCTTAAACAAGCCATGACACCAGAGTTCAAGGCCTACCAGTCACAGGTTCTTGAGAACTGCAAAGCTCTGTCCAGTTCCCTCATGGATCTCGGTTACAAGATTGTCACTGGTAAGTTCCACAAAGCCCCTACTATAAGAAAGCTTCGTCTCAATTTATTAATAAATGTCCTAAATGGAAGTTGCTTTTACCACAAAGGCAAATAAAAACAGGTTATTCTGAATTTGATGTATTTTTTTCATTATTGTAATAGAATAATGTTAAGTCAGTTTTTAGCATAAACCTGCTGACTTGAATCATATTTATGCTCATTGTCTCCTCTCCTGTAGGAGGTTCTGACAACCATCTAATCCTGCTGGACCTGCGGAACAAAGGAACTGACGGAGGACGAGCTGAGAAGGTTCTGGAGGCCTGTGCCATTGCTTGTAACAAGAACACCTGTCCAGGTACAGTATGTGATTGTGTAACTATAAACTATTACAGAAAACAACAAACACAAGATGCAGAAATGTCTTCCCAATACCAATCCCCCCACCCCAGCCTGTCAATCCAGCACCATAATTCTCCCCATTTGGTTCTCATTCTTCTTCAGATGAAGGGGAGGGGTTTTTGGAGCAAATCTTTGAATCAGACTGATCTTTCATCATTGCCTTTCCACAAAGAGCTGCTGACATTAGGATACAGTCAGGTGATGGGAGGGGTGCTTTAAGGTTCTTAGCTTTGTAGATACACCTTTTGTATTGTGAGCAGAGGTTGTAGATGTTTGGGGGCATCTTTCTTCCCACTCAAATCAAGGTTTCTTGAGATAGTTCAACAGCTGCCAGGTGTGAAGCAACCAGTTTGTGGATTAGCACCTCAAAGTGCGAGGCCGTGCCCCATGGCCATTAAAGGGTGGGTTGCCAACTTCAAATTGGGAAATATCGTCCAACTCACGTGTAGGAGTTTAAATACCTCAACGTCTTGTTTGCACATGTTGGTAGACTGAGGCAAGAAGTTGACAGATGGGTTCAGGTGCAGAGGCTGCACCAGTTTGCAGTGACAAGCTCAAGGACAAAGCTGTCGACCAGCTGATCTATGTTCCAAACCTCACTTATGGTTAATCACTGAGAGACGAGTAATGACCAAAAGAATAAGTTCACAAATACAAGCAGCTGAAATGTGCTTCTTCAGCAGTTTTTAAACTAATCGTAGGGAAAATGTTAGGAACCTGGCAGAGGTTCTCAGTAGTCACAGGTCCTGATTGATAAGGCATGATAGACTCCTTCCCTGGGAGGTTTTCACGGCACTTCATGCATTTCCAAGCAGTCAGCTTAGGAACGCTTTGGATTCCTCCAGATGAACAGGAGGAGGTTGCTGATAGAGAGGAAGATCTGAATAATGTGAATCCTAAATAACTTATTTTCCTAAAGAACCATTTTTAATTGTTGGCAGCCTTTTTTTTTTTTTTTTCAGGGGATAAAAGTGCTTTGCGTCCCAGTGGTCTGAGGTTTGGTTCTCCAGCTTTGACCTCCAGAGGCTTGGTGCAGGAAGACTTTAAGAAAGTGGCTCACTTCATTCACAGAGGTAATTTTTAAAGAAGGCGATGGTGCATTTATCCGTCTGTGCACAAGACCAAATGATTTTAAAATAAATCTGTTCCTTTTAAAGCTGATATCTGATTCCCATGTTCTCTATTCTCCTGCAGGTATAGAGCTGACTCTGGAGGTGCAGAGAAGTCTGGATCCTAAGGCCACTCTGAAGGAGTTCATCCAGGCGGTGGCTCAGGGAGACCAGTTCCAGCAGCAGGTGGCTGAGATCAGGGCTGAGGTTGAGGCCTTTGCTGGTCAGTTCCCCATGCCGGGTCAGCCCGAGCTGTAGAGGGCAGCACTTCAAACAGAAAACAGCTTGAAGAGATGATTCTACAAAACAAACATCACTGATGGCATCAGCTTTACGTGTCAAATCTAGACACTTTCTGGTGATTTTAAAGCATTCTTGTCTAAACACATTTTCACTTGATACAGATTTTTCCAAATGGAAAAAAAATCCGAGCTCAAATTCATTAATTTGCTTTAGACTTTCAATTATTGGTATTGTTACAAAACTTTATTAACTTTTGCCCTCTGACTTCAGTCTTTGATGTTACAATGAAAGCATTGGCTTGCTTAAGGTAGTCGTGTTTATTAATTTCTGTTTAATTTAATTTACATTTCCAAAGCTTTCTATTAAACTGTTTCAACTTGAACTGTAATAAATAAACCAGTTTTGTTACATTCATTAAATGTAACAGTAAACTTTACTGGAGATTTTTATTTACTTATTTTTTCTGACTGAAAACTTGTGTGTGTGCTTTTTCACTTTTATAAAAATGTTTTTTATTCAGCTGCAGTCCTTTTGATAATGCTCACAATATTGAAATGCTTCAATCTGGTTTTAAAGCCCTGCACTGCAAAGAAACTGCACTTTTATAAAGTTTTAATGATCTTTTTATTAATTGAACCTATGTGGTATCAAAGACTGCACTGACGGCAGTTTCTCTGTAAGCCTCTGAAAATCTGTTTCCTTTTCAGTCTTCATGTGGAGTTCCCCAAGGATCTATTCTTGGACTTGTTTTATTTTCCATCTTCACGCTTCCCATTGGCTCCATCGTCCGAAAATTTACCATCTCTCCATTCCTACATGGACAACACTCAGATTGTCTTTACTTTCAGCTAAAGTACAATTCTTTCTCAATTAAACCCCTGCTTGATGCCTCACTGAGGTCAAAGCTTGAACAGCTTCAAACATTCTAAACTTTAGTAAGAACAAAACTGAAATCATTAATCTTGGCCCCAATGCAAACTGTTGTTACTCCTGTGGATCTGGGTAGCGTGGAGCCATTTGTAAGATCTCATGTAAAACATTAATTTTGACACTTGATTCAGATTTTTAACCTTGAGAAACAAGATTAGTTTTGTAGTAAAAATGTTATTTTCAAAAACAGGCTTTTGTCAAGTGAAATTGCTTTTATCCTTTAACATCTGTGAACAGGTGATTCACACTTTTATTACCTTTCAACTTGACTATTGCAACTATGTTGGTATCGGTCAGGCCAGCCTCTTATGACTGTAGTACAGAACGTTGCAGCTTCTCTTAGCACACACAAAAAAGCAGGAACACATCTCCCTAGTGTCAAATTATTCAGGTAAATAAATTAACAAGGTTGAGTCAGGTACTCTGCATGGATCCTTTGTTGAAACGTTTAGTCTTTTATCCAAAAGACTTCTTCAGTCTGAGGTGCTGCAGCAGCCTCATAGTGATGGATGGCAGTGGAGGTGGTCTGTTTATGATTAACATCAGATGCCACTCTTAGCAGCAGGATTCATTCAACCTTTATTTATGCAGGTTAGTCCCATTGAGCCTCGGGGTCTCATTCACAAGAGAGACTTGAAGATGACTGAAGGATAATACAGTATTATAGGCAGAAACATGGGTGTGCTATGGGATCCCCACTTTCATGTGGTGTTGCAAACCTGTACACGGAGGAGGTAGAAACGAGTGTCCTTTTCAGGGACACCACCAGGTCATTGGTTCAGGTATGTTGATGATGCCTGAGTTAAAATTTAATCTCAGGAAGTACAACATTTCACTGATCACATCAACTTTGTGGATAAAGTTCGCATGAGAAGATGTAAACGATGACAGGTTGGCTTTCTTGAACTGTGTCTCTGGTGGAGGACTTTAAGAAACTGAGGTGTACCACAACCCACCCACACAGACCAGTACTTGCGGCTTGACTCCCTTCATTCACTGGAGCACAAGTTAGGAGTCATCAGGACTCTGTACCACAGAGCAGACAGCGTCCTCACGAACTCAGGAGCCAGGCAGAAGGAGAAATCCCACACAAGACAGGCTCTAGAGCATATGTGTCAAACTCAAGGCCCGGGGGCCAAATGTGGCCCTCGTTGAAATCTTATCTGGCCCCCAAGATGATATGTGAAACGTAAAATACTTCTGTCACTTTAATTTTTTTCAGTAATCTCTGATTATGATGTTGAAAGCACAACAGAGAACATCAAATGAGACCAATCAAGATCTTGTTGAGGACCCTGTGACCAAGAAAAGATGCTGGGTATCTGATTTGAGTTAATGTAGATTCTGAAATTGGCCCTTAGTTTGAAAAAGGTTTTAATTTTGGCCCCCTTTTGTAAGTGAGTTTGACACCCCTGCTCTAGAGCAATGTGGATATCCTAACTGGGTCTTCCTGAAAGCAGAGAAGAAACCCAAACAGAACTCCAGCCAGCCATCAGATGGAAAAAGGAATCCAGACCCAGACCAGTGGTCATTCTGTATATTTTAGGAGTTTCAAAAAAACGGAGACCTTTATTTTCTAAACATGACACCTTTCAAACCCCAAAATACATTATGGCAAAGACTGGTTCATCCCAAAGATTTGGTCCCATCACACAAACAGAGTACTATTGTGTATGCTGTTCAGTGTCAGGAAGGTGATCAGTCTTACATCGGGAAACTAAACAGCCACTGGCCAAAAGGATGGCCCAGCACAGAAGAGCAACATCATCAGGCCAGGACTCTGCGGTCTACACTCATCTCCAGGCCAGTAGTCACTCTTTCAGGGATGACGATGTTCACATTCTTGATAAAGAGGAACGTTGGTTTGACAGAGGAGTGAAGAAAGCCATCTTTGTGAAGAAAACATGTCCATCTTTAAACGGGCAGGCAGAGGCCTCCATGTTCAACTGTCCCCTTCTTACAATGTTGTTATTGCATCGCTCAGCTCAAGCAGCCATCAGGGTGCTAACAACCATTTGTTAGACTGATGGTCCTCCTTTTGTATGTGAACAACTAGTTTTTGGCTGTCATCAGCAGAGTGGTTGATCCACTATGAGAAGGTGTTGCTTATAGAACTGAGTTTGTTGCAGTTCCTGAAGACTGATTTTTGGATAAAAGACGAAATGTTTCAGCAAAGAAGAATCCGTTCAGAGGACCTGACTCAACCTTGTTAGAGATATTTCCCCAGTGCTCAGTGCCAATTGGTTTTAAAGATTTTGTTGACCTTCGATGGACTGTACTTATACAGCACCTTTCTATCTTATGAAGACACTCAAAGTGCTATACACTACAATCTATGTCCTCGTTTACCCATTCATACAGGACTCTACTAGATCTCTGCAAAGCAAATTGAACAAATCATTCTAAAGAGACTAATCAGTGCTTTATCACATTCATTCACCGATGGGACACACATCGGAGGCAATGAGGGGTTCAGTTTCTTGCCCAGGGACACTTAGGCACTGCTGGTGGATTCGAACCCCCAACTCTTGCATTGGAGGACGACTGCTCTAACCACTCAGCCACAGCATCCTAGTCTGAGATGAAATAAATGAACAGACTCCTTTAAATCTGTCTGACCTCCTGCAGCCTGTGCCCTCGAGATCTGAATGGTCATTTGCTTTTGGTTGTCCCAAGGTTCAGGCTGGTCCACAGACGCTATCAGGCCTTTCAGTTGTAGCTCCTAACCTGTGGAAGCAGCTGCCGCTTCACATGAGACAGGCTTCAACTCTTGGTGTTTTTCTGTCTCATCTTAAAACAAATTTGTACTCACTGGCTTTTAATACTGTATAAAATGGACTTGTTTATTTAAACTATTGTAATTTGTCTAAATAAATTTGAATGATTTAAAATAATCAATTTTATAGAAAGGCTTTTTTCAGTAATGAACATTTTCTAAGTGACCCATGGGACTCCAGACACTTCACTTAACTCATTACTTCACCTTTGTTGTGGCAAAGCACTACCTCTGTTGCCTTTTAACAATTTGTCAGTATGTTTTTCAGTCCAACCAAAAGTCCTACTCTGTTGCCTTATCAATATTTTCCCCGTCCTCTAAAGCTGCTCGAGCCACAGTCCACTTAGCTTGCAAATTTCCTGCCAGCTGCATCAAGGGTCCCACAAACTAACCAAGTTCTGTAGCACACCTTCAGCCTGGACTCTTCACTTCCAGTATCCACTGTCAAGTTCAGGCAACAACTTTATTATGGTCACATTTTTACACAGCATATCAATAGGGGATCTAGAACAGAATCCATTTAGACTCAGTGTCTCCTGCCTTCCTTGAAGAAGCCAATTGCCAGAGGTGAATGTTGGAAGACCTCTTCAACAGGAGTTTAAGCTCCTTTGGATTGGAGCCTCTGCAAGATGTTCCTAACACAACCTCACTGGACGTTTGGACGTGCCGCATGTTTCAGACATCCTCCCCCCAGCACCTGGTCCAATTCACACCCCAGTTAATGTCATTGACAGCTCAGCTGCTTTTCATCCGGAGGTTCAAGACAAATGATCATGGACCTGATGACACTATTGTTTACCTGCATTCCAGGAGTCTTGGCGCAGAACCACTTTCCCTTATAAACACTATGGTGCTTGTTGATTCAGTGATAAGTCTTCTAATATGTCCTCAGCAGGTCTAACAAGCTGTTAGACCGACAAATCTAGATTTGTAATGCAGAGTTCATCTGTTCACTGTTTGATGTTTGGACATACCGCCCTTGAAGTGATGTGGTTCTCCATCTTGGGCCTTGTTCCCTTGCGCTGAAAAGTATTGTTTAAAAGCCACTCTGTTAATATTTGAGGTCGGACATAATCTGCCACTTTGAATTGTTTTATCCCTGGGATTTTCTGCAGGACAAGTATCACAGAAGTTTGTTAGCAGAGCACCACTCTAGTACACATAGGACAGGTGGTTCCTCCCACCTACACACCTCCAGGTCACACACTTGTCCATGTGTTGAAGTCTACCAGCAGAACAATGAATCCCCCAGGCACTGCCCCCTTAGATTTTCACCCATGTACCACATGAGTGCTTTTGACCTGCTGCCAGGTACTGCGCAAATAACCTTCAGAATATTTCCCTGACCCCTCAAAATATGAAAACAACTATTGTATCTACTGGAAAACATCTAAATGTTTTGTACTGAGAGAGGAGCAACAAGTAAGCCTACTACTGCTTGTCACTTTCAAAAGAATTGAAACATTAAACCCAACAACTTCTGTTTTAAATATCAAGTAGAAATTTTTGATTTATTGATTTGATACAAGCTTAATGGCCATGTAATACTATTTACATAATGCAGTTTTAAAAAAAACCAAAAAACTTTGGAACTGTAAATTTAACCCAACACAAAAATGATTCTAGATAATATTAAGCTAACATTTTTATTGAAACATTCTGCCTAAAACAAGTTTTACATCTGAAAATATGAACTCTCTCTATTAAAATATATTTCAAACATTAACGTCTATGCAGGAATAATTAAAATTTGTAGTGTCTTGTTTTGCACAGGGACACATTTGACAGTCAAACTCCGCCCACCACAAGTGATGTTTGTTTTGTAGAATCATCTCTTCAAGCTGTTTTCGGTGTCTGAAGTGCTGTCTTCTACAGCTCAGGCTGACCCGGCATGGGGAACTGACCAGCAAAGGCCTCAACTTCAGCCCTGATCTCAGCCACCCGGTGCTTGAACTTGTCTCTCTGAGACATCGCCTGGGTGAACTCCTTCAGAGTGGCCTTAGGATCCAGACTTCTCTGCACCTCCAGAGTCAGCTCTATACCTGCAGGAGAAGGGAAACCATAAAAGTAGGAGTTCGGTTTTGCTTTAAAAAAGTTTTTACAACCCTTTAACTATCATTTGTATTTTTGTGCATTTCCTTCTCAATGTGACAAATTTACCAACACCTCGTTTAAAAAAAATACCTCTGTGAATGAAGTAAGCAACTTTTTGGAAGTCTTCCTCCACAAAGCCTCTAGAGGTCAGAGCTGCAGAACCAAACCTCAGTCCACTAGGAGGGGCAGCACCATTGTCTCCTATTAAAAAAAAACATGTTTGTGAACAGTTCTAATAGCCTTCATGGAAAAAGATGAATTAACAGGAAAAAAAACAACAACAATTGGATCTTTAAATTGTTCTGAAAAACATTGCCTCACTAGTTATTATTTGGCATTAGGCTCAGCGGGGCTAACCAGGAGTTGGCACAGTGGTTAAGTCATTCAACTGTGTTGTGGAAATATCAGGGTTTCAGGGTTTGAATCCTGGTGCCAACCTCTGAGCAACCTCAGTTACACTGAGAGACAAAATAATGAGGCCTTGCCTGCTCAGATGTTGCCCAGATTAATAAGGTTCGCATCAGATGTTGGGGAACCAGCACATTCTGAGGAAAAATGGGCTACTGGAACAAGACATGCATGGACAAGGGCAGAGCGTTGGAATGTTACTTCTGTATGGGATTAAGCCTAAATAGAGGGGCTATAAGGGAACAATGTGGGAACTATGGAAACTTGGATACCCACCATCCAAATTTACCCATAAACAACTTCGAAACCAGTGTTCCAACACTTGAGCAAGGAATCTGCTATCACACCTAGAGATTGACAAGGTATAACAAATATGCTACAGGGGAGCTAGGACGACAGGTCAAGGGGGATAAGCCATCATCCCCACCATCATGGGTACCAAGCCCCATTGAAAAGCCTTGAGGAACTGAATACAAGGTCAGCTGATCTTAGAATGAAGATTGTGACCAAGCTAGGCCAACTATCACATCAACAGAAAGGTGCGTGAGTTTCCAGTTGTTGCAGGAAGTTCTGCAGTTCTGAAACTCAGCAGTTCCAGAGTTCATGAAGGCTGGAATTCAGGATGCTGATGAGAGAAAAAGAATCAAGCTGAACCAGAGAAGATCTGGGAATTATGAAACTTCTGTTTTGGATGACCTCACGACTCCAGAGGGTTAGCTGTTCTTACGGAGACGCTGAAAAGTGGCTCGAAGTGGAACTTTACGCCGGAACTGAGATATCTTCAGAAAGGTAAAAGTCGATCTTCACCAAAGTGTACCGTTGGGATAAGCTGGTCCAAAAGAGCGTGCTGTTCTGGTTAAAACAGACAAATTCCCTCACACATCTCTCTGTAGATAAACTCCATCTTTCCATCTTTAAAATTCTTCTATCTGCTAAAAATCATTACAGATATCTTTAGAAATGTCTGAAGCAAAGTTTTCCAATCACCTCCGTGTGGTTGACGTCTGCTGTATTATTGGAAGTGAGGACAATCGCCGCATTGTTCACTTCCTGTAAACTGATTAATAAGCTGTCGTTACTTTCAATTCTTGCCAATTAATGTAAATGTGTGATGTGTTAAACTTGATTATGTTAATAAATGGCCCACTGTCATTGGTGAGTCAAAGATAATTAACGTTTCCGTCCACATTTTATTAATTCATATGCACGTCATCATACAGTCCAGAAAAATGAAAGAATCCGTTTTAACAGTATGAATATATATCAGTATATGTACATACTACATCTGCAATGAATAAAGAACCACCGAAAATACCTCAACACGTCCATACCTAAGGCTCTAGAGGCTGCCACACAAAACCTAAAAGCTCTTGCTACTTGTTTAAAGAAGCAGAAGCTAGGAGAATAAACAGGGTATTTGTTAGGGGAAAAAAAATCTCAATCACTAACATTGATTATTGTACTCCAAAAGAACCCCAACCTACAGCAGGTGAAGATTTTTTTAGCCCTCTTTTACTAGCAGGCCACATCCAGGACAGGTTATATACTTTGTACATAAATAGATATGCATGGAGACAATGTCACAGAATGAACCTCAAACAGAGTCTTCTGTTGATTTTTATAACATTAACAGTTCAGTGGGCATTCATTTGTCCTGAAGTCCAACTCACAAAAACATACAGATATGGTTTATGGGCGTCAGGGAGGTGTCAGGGAGGCACCGTGACTAGGCCTCCAAGTTGAGATAAGAGAATGTTTTAGGAGACAGCAAACCAGCCAGTTCTCATGGCAGGAGGGAACAATGTTTTCAGCTACAATACAATACAATATAAGACAATACAATACAATACAATAATACAATACAACTTTATTTATAAAGCACTTTAAAAACAACACCAAAGTGCTGTACACTAACACATACAAGCAAGTATAAAAACCATAAAATCAGTAGATACTGTAAAAGTAATAACTACAATATAAAGCACAATGTAAAAACATTCATTACATTTGACCAAAATTTCTCTAACAGTATTCTACACCACAGAGGAGAATTCACATGGTGTATTCTCAATAGTAGAAGAACAACATAAGAAGTTTATGCTGGTGCAGCATATGGGAAAAGGAGGCGTCACACAATAATAACTACATGGTAACAACACAGAAATCTCCCAGAACAAGAACCAGTGCTCATTTCAGTGGCAGACATCTAAGAGTCTCAGCAATGAAGAGCTGGGCTTGACATGTTCCACATCTACTAGCTAAAGAAACTGACTGCTTTTCATGAATGCCTACCCAAGGTCCCATCCAGAGTAGTTGAACCAAGGCTGGACAGTTCTGATCATGAAATACCCCCAGAAAAGGATAATCCCATCCAACTACTATCCAACTACAATCACCTGTACAACATGGAAGCTCCTATCAGGCATCATAGCGACTAAGATGAATAAACAAACCTGAGTGAGGCACAGAAAAGACTTGGCATCAACACTAAGCAACACCAAGCACCAGCTACTGTTTGATAGAATTCCAGCTTGGGACTAACACCAGACACACAAACCTGTACATTGCCTGGATTGATTACAGGAAAGATATGACATCATGCCACTGGAGTGCTTGAATCTATACAACATCAACAGGACACTTAGATCCTTCATCAATAACTCAATGGGAATGTGGAAGACAAACTCTAGAGGCCAGTTCAAAGCCAATTGCATGTGACGTCAGGATCAAATATAGTATATACCAAGGCGATGGATGCACTGTCCCCATGCCTGTTCTGCATAGGCCTGAACCTCCTCAGCCATATCATTGCAAAGAGTGGCTATGGATATTGGTTCCAAAATGGAACAATCATTAGTCACCTCCTCTACATGGATGACATCAAGCTGTATTCCAAAAATGAGTGAGATATTGACTCACTGATCCACTTTATCAGCAAGGACATTGGAATGTCATTTGGACTGGATAATTTCAGTTGAATGGTATGTAAGAGAGGCAAGGTGATCACAACTGAAGGGGTTGAACTACCTGACATTGCAACATTGCAGATGTCCAGGACAGCTACAAATACCTTGGAATCCCACCTTGGAATCCTACAGGCAAATGGCAATCATGACGAGGCCTCAAGAAATTCAGCTACACCCAAATACCTACAGAGAGTAAGGAAAGTACAGAAGCTGCCAGCTGAATGGGAATAACAGAGTCAGAGCCATCAACATAAATGCAATGCCAGTCATTAGATACCTAGCTGGTATAATAGACTGGCCAAAGGAGGCGATGTAAGCCACTGACACCAAAACTTAAAAGCGCCTCACAATGCATGGAGGGTTTCACTCCAAGTCCAGCACCCTGAGACTATACACTAAAAGAAAAGAACCAAAAAAGTCCATGCTCAATAATCCAGGTATACAATCCAACAATTTTCATAGATTTTCAAAGATTACTTTAAAAGAAAAGAAGAAGGCAAAGGACTAGTGAGTGTCCAAACCATTACTTAAGGTGAAACAACTATTATAGATTACATCAGAAGGAAATCCCCCGACAATGAACTAATGAGTGAAAGTCTGAGGCAGCAGCATAACCCCAATGTAGAAAAGGCTGAACAAGAGGATTTATCATGGAAAGATGAATCCTTTCATGACATGTACCACCAGTAAACTGAGGATGTGGCTCAACAAATCCTATCAACAATATCAACAAATCCTACTTGTGGCTCGAGAGAACTAGACTGAAGGACAGCACAGAGGCACCAATTGTCATGATCAGCGGGGGGCGGTGATCATGACACCAATCATGGCTTCACAAGAATGGGCCATCAGCACAAAAGCAATAGAATCCAGGGTCTACCATACCAGACAAGAACCAAGATGCAGGCTGTGCAAAGATGCCCCCGAGACAGTCCAACACATAATAGCAGGGAGTGAGATCCAGGCAGGCAAAGCATACATGGAACTATATAGCCAAGTGCCAGTAATAATATACAGGAACATCTGTGCTGAGTATAGACTGGAAGGAGTATGGACTGTATCAGAACACAGACAATAATTTCTAAGCGTTCTCTTCAGAAATTGAAAATGGGACAGACCCATCATGTTTTGAGCAGGTGCCTTGTTCATTTAGAGCAGGTCAGTTAGTGTTTAATATCCAAATCCTCACACTGACTAACAAAAAGTCAAAGTCTAAATTAACCAGGATCCTCCATGTCCTCTGGCAGACTACCACTAAGTCTGAGAGTTTGAAAACTCACCAAAAAAAAATCTAAAATCACTCAGCAGAATCACCAGAAATGTTGCAAAGTTGGGTGGCTGCTCTGTGTTAATAACACCCAACAGTGTTCTATATGGCATTCCATATACAATACACTTTGCTTGCCTGCACATCCTGCTATTATGTGCTGGACTTTTGTCAGGGGCATCCATCCTTACTCCTTGCTTGGGTCTTGTCTGTTGTGGTAAACACTGGCCTCTGTTGTTCTTGTGCTGCCATGATAAGTGTCTCTAAGTTATCTTTCAATTCAGCCCTTTTCTAGCCATTAGTACTATTTGTTGAAATCGACCACTTCATCAATCTGCAGGTGGTAGATGTTGTGCAGGGGCTTATATTTCCATGATGGTTCTTCCTGTTCCACCCTTTCCACATTGGGTTTCTGTTGCCTGAGACAGTTACTTAGTAATTTATTTTCAGTGGGTAACAAAATAGGTTCTCATGCTCACTAGTCCTCTGCCACCCTTTCTCTTAGTGTATAATAGGGTGATGAACTTGGGTGAAATCATGAGTTTTTTTTATTTTTATTTTTTATCTTGTTTTATCTCCTCCTTTGGCCAGGCTATTATACCATGCCTGGTATCTGATGACTGGAGGGCATACCATATGTGATGATTGCTCGTATTACCGTTTACATACATATACACACACACAACTGTACCTGGACAATTGTTCGTGTTACAAGAAATGCCACAAGCCTCCAGAACATTCTCAGCTCTTATTCCATCACTTCCTTTATTTTGCAGATCCAGAAGCATTAGATGGTTGTCTGAACCACCTGCAAAAGAACATACATCCAGTCATGCTACAAATTCACTTCATGTTATAAACCTATAGTAAAACAAAGTTAATCAAAGTAGGAAACAAAGGACAATGTAGTTACTGTATGCTGTTTTAAGATGGCAGAAGTCTTCTTTGGGATAATTTTAAACAAATTAAAATTACTTTTGTATGTTAGTGGATTTATAAACCGTACCTGTGACAATCTTGTAACCAAGATCTATGAGGGTATCGGACAGAGCTTTGCAGTTCTCAAGAACCTGTGACTGGTAGGCCTTGAACTCTGGTGTCATGGCTTGTTTAAGAGCCACAGCAACACCTACCAATGAAGGACATTACCTCAGTGAGATTAATGTGGATATACTTTGACAGCTGTCAAAATCCATTCATCCATCCATCATCTTTAGCTTTATCCTTGGCTGCTTCCTTACCACGTTGTGGGGATTGCTGGTGCTCATGTCCAGCAGTCACTGTGCAAGAGACGGAAGACACCCTGGACAGGTTGCAAGTCCATCACAGGGTAATATAGAGACAAATGAGACAAACAAACATTTGCACCCAGGGACAATTTAGAGTTACCAATTAACCTAAAGTGCTTTTTTTGGTCTGTGGGAGAAAACCTGGAGTACCTGGAGAAAATCCATGCATATAAGGAGAGAACAAACTCCACTCAGAAATGGCATGATTTAGGTGAGCGATGACAGCTCTGCCAACTGTGTACCCATGCCAGTGCAGCTGTCAAGATGAACCTAAAAAACAAATAAAACAACAACAAAAATTGTTACCTGCAATAGCATAGTTGTGTGGTCCACCTTGCAGCCCTGAAAACATAGCCTGGTTGATTGAAGACTCCAAGTTATACAGAGTCTCCTTTCCTTTGGCATCCACACTTCTTACACCTGGTGGAGGGAAGAAAGTGTAAAAAAAACTGTAATTAAAATGAACTAAACACAAACAAGTTAGGCACAGGAGGTAGATAGGCGAAAGAATCATTATGGCTCCTAAAAGTAATATCTGCATCGGCTCTGACATGGCCTTTTCAGTTCTCAAACAAATAGTACTAGGTGAGGAGCTATGTTAGAGTGAAAAGAGATGTTTTTTTAGGTAAGCTGAGCCAAATGATCCATACCAAATTTACTGAAACAAGGAAAAGTGACAGCTGGCAACAATAGAACAGAAACCAGAAGTATATACAGTATCGTGGGGAGTAATTACAAAACAGGGAGAGGTGTCCTGATTGATTAAGCAGAACCAGTTGTGAGAGAAACAGGAAACCAAAACTAAAGACAAGAACCAAACCTAACGAACCATGACAGTGGGTGTCAAAGAAACAAATATACTGTGAGAAAACTAACATTAGTAAAAAAAAAAATCACAGAAGGGTCCAATTTCTTTCTACCTTTTCTATAAAATATAAGTCCAGCACGACAGCCACGCAACGTCTTGTAAGTTGTTGTGGAAACGATGTCACAATGCTCAAAGGGTGAGGGCACCACTCCAGCAGCCACTAACCCACTGATGTGAGCCATGTCTCCCATTAGATATGCACCATTCTCAGTTGCAACCTGCTTTAGGCGGGTGTAGTCAAGGTTGCGAGAATAACAACTTGTTCCTGGAAAAGGAGGAGCACAAACAAAATAAAATATTTATTTCCAAGTACCAGTTCAGTTCTACAGAGTATGTACACTGTACGTGAAGGAGTGCGTTAAAAAACCTGCAATTATGAGCTTGGGTTGGAACAGTCGAGCATGTTCTTGTAGTTTGTCATAGTCAATGTAGCCTGTTTCTGGATTCACCTAAAACAGAAGAAGCACACCCCTATCTATATTGAAGTTTCATACTTTAGCTTGAATTCACTCAGGTTGTGAATGACATTCCATTGAAGTAAATAACATACAACTGGTCACACAGGTATGTTAATGACCATATGTTGAAAATTCATGAGTGCTTTTCACCTTGTAAGGCATGGATTCAAAGAAGATGGATGTTGCTGAGATTTTTTTCTTCTCAGTCATAAAGCCATGTGTCAGGTGACCCCCATCAGGAAGGTCCAGTCCCATGATCCTTCCGTGTGGCTCCACGACAGCCGTGTAGATGGCAAAGTTAGCTGGAGAGCCTTAGAAAGGAACGCAGGAATCAATATGATGAACAAAGAAGAGAATGGAGAAATGTACAGAAACTAAAAGCTTTATATTGCTTAATACCCGAGTATGGCCGCACGTTGACTCCCCATTTCTTTGAATCCAGGTCAAAGGCTTCAAGCGCCCTCGTCTGGCATAGTCTCTCCACCTCAGCAACATTTTCTGTACAATTGTAATACCTAAACATATGGATTGTGTGTATGTATTGATTTTCATTTATATTACGGTAATTTTTTATAATGGCATTTAATAAAATATATTCCTGTATACCTAAGGATAGGGGAATTCTTAGTGTACTTGTTGTTCATACAGGAACCAAGAGCCTCGAGGACAGCTCTGCTGGTGAAGTTCACGGATGCTATGAGCTCCAGACCATACATCTGCTTTTGCTTCTCCTTTTTTATTATAGAAAACATCTGAAATTGAAACACTATAAGACTCAGTTAGGAGTACTGTAATTTACCTACTCATCAGCTAAAATATTATTCATGACCATACAGTGATGGGAAAAAGGCAATTGATCCTTGTCCAGTACTAGGGTTTTATGGATCAGGCATAATAAAAATGCCCTACCTTTTACAAGGTTCTAAAATTATTCAAATCTGACCTCAAGTATACAAAAACACACAACAAATTCCATCACTGAATCATTGAAATCATTGAAATTCCATCATTATTTGTGCTACAACGATCGATAATATTTTCACAAATATAACAAATGGGGATGTGATAGGAGGTATTTTAATGAGTGATTTAAGTGATCACTTACCAGTTTTCACGATTTATAAAATAATCAAAGCATTACAAAAGAAATTACAATTAAGAAAAAAACAATAAACACATAAAAAAAAAGCAATGGACAAATTAAAAGATGATTTACATAAACAAAACTGGAAAGACGTGTATGTTGATGATGTGAACAGATCATATGATGAGTTTATGAATATTTTAGGAGCTCTGTATGAAAAGAATTGTGTGCAAAATAATTATACAAAGAGAAATGTTGTTGACCAACCATGGATGAAGAAAGGGTTGAGAAATGCTTGTAAAAAAAAAAAAATTATTTGTATACATGTTTCTTGAAATTGAGAACACAAGAGGCCGAAGAGAAATATAAGAAGTATAAAAATAAATTAGTAGGAATTATAAGGAAACACAAGAAGGAATATTATAGTGATTTATTAAATAAAAGTAATGGTGATATGAAAGCTACATGGCGAGTAATAAATAGTGTTCTGAAAAGTCATAAAGCAAAAACAGGTATTTCACAATATTTTTTGAAGGATGACGATGAAATCCATGATGAAAATGGAATTGTAAATGGATTTAATCATCATTTTGTGAACGTTGGATCAAGCCTTGCAGCTAAAATACCAAAAGTAGACAATAATGTGAACCATTCAGTTATAAGTTGTGACAACATCACTTTTCTTAATGGAACTGACAAAGAAGAAATAATGAATGTTGTAAAAAATCTTACAGATAAGAGATCAAAAGACTGGGTGGACATGGATATGATGTTTGTAAAGGACATAATGAGTCATGTTATCGAGCCGTTTACATATATATGTAATTTATCATTTTCAAAAGGAATATTTCCAGACAATATGAAAGTAGCTAAGGTAGTTCCTCTCTTTAAACATGGTGAAAAATGTGTGTTCAATAATTATAGACCAATATCCTTATTACCACAGTTCTCAAAAATTCTAGAAAAACTATTTGTGACCAGATTAGATAAATTTATTACAAAACAAAACATTCTAAGTAGTAGTCAGTATGGGTTTAGAGCAAAAAACTCTACATCAATGGCTCTCATGGAAATAATGGAACAAATAACTACTGCTGTCGATCAAAAACAGTATTGTGTTAGTATTTTTGTTGATTTAAAAAAAGCATTCGATACTATTGACCACACTATTCTCCTTGAAAAATTAAATAAATATGGTATAAGAGGACCAGCATTACACTGGGTATCTAGCTATTTAAAAGATAGGAAACAGTTTGTACAAATAAATGGTGTAAGATCTGACCTGTGCAATATCACTTGTGGAGTTCCTCAAGGCTCTGTACTTGGACCAAAGTTATTTATTTTATATGTGAATGACTTAGTGAATGTATCAGGACTCCTCAAATGTGTCCTTTTTGCAGATGACACAACATTTTTTTGTTTGGGTAAAGATGTAAAACAGATGTTGGAATTGATGAAGACAGAATTTGATAAAATACAAATTTGGTTTAAACTTAATAAATTATCATTAAATTTAGATAAAACTAAATACATGATATTTAGTAACAAAAAGAGAACTGTTGATGATCCATTTAAAATTGAGGGTGTTGAGATTTGTAGAGTTAATGAGATGAAATTTTTGGGTGTAATCATTGATGAACAGCTAACATGGAAAAATCACATAAATTCTGTAAGAACAAAAATATCTAAATCTATTGCAGTACTATACAAAGTCAGGGAATTATTAAATGATAAAGCTCTGTACATGTTGTATAACACAATCATTGTTCCACATTTAATCTATTGCATTGATGTTTGGGGGAAAGCGTGTAAAACATTTACTAAGCCTATTTTTATTTTACAGAAAAGAGCTGTAAGAATTATCACCAGAAAGCATTACAGTCACCCATCAAGCACATTATTTTATCAACTGAAGTTATTGAAATTCCATGATCTAGTAGATTACAGTATTTTATCAGTTATGTATAGGGCTCAAAATAACACATTACCATTAAATATCCAAAGAAATTTTGTTAAAAGACAAAGTTGTTATAATCTTAAGGGGATAGAGATATTTGTCAAACCAAAATTCAGAACTAGTCTGAAGGGAAGGTCTACCTCAGTCTAAGGAGTTGGATTGTGGAATGGTCTAGAGAGTGATGTGAAAAATGCCAAGTCAATGTGTACATTTAAGAAAAAGATCAAAGCTGAATTGTTAAAAAAGTATATATGAAGTAGCTTAGTGTGTGTTTTGTATTAGAATTAGAAAAATTAAAAAGAGTTATTCATTTTGTTCTGTTACTTGAAAATTATTATGATTGAACTAATTGTTTGAAAAAAGGGGCAGATATAATAAGATTTTTTCTTCTTTCTGCTGCCTTTCATTTTAAATCTCTTGTATTTTTTTTATAATGTTATGGAATTGTTTTGTACTTTTTTTAAATGAATAAACTTTATACCATACCATACCATCATGATGTTATTTATTAAACAATACCAAGCAAAAATGTGTGTGTGCAAAATTAAGTCCATCAATTTTGCTTCCATGGGATTTAAAAAGGAAAGTAGCAGCCAAAGCTTTCCTTGTTAAAAACACTTGATTCACAGAGCATCATCGGTGTGATCACCTCTGCAATTGCAGGAGTTTTAGCAGTTTGCTGGCCTGGAGTATACAGGTGTTTGTTAGCATGATGGCAAGGTGAAAAGACATCTGCAATGACCTTAGATAAACAATTATTTCTGTCCATCAGTTCAGGAAGGATTAAAGATAATTTTCAAACAACTTGGAATCCATCGATCTATGGAGACAAAAAATAGATTTTTAAGTGTCCCAAAGAAAGTTGCAGATGGAACCCTAATAGGTTATGTAGAGGGCTTGTAACAGCGATGATGTTAAGCTGAAGAAGGATTCCTTTAGGACATGTTTATTCCGCCAGACTGCTGAAGAAGCTGACAGAAACAGGGTGCTAAGAAAAACTGTGCCTTCTCTGGTTGTGGATGCAAAAAACTTGGGTATGAGAGGAATTTTGAGAGGCCATGGAGATGGACCATTGGCCTAAGGAGGTTCTGGCAAACTGTTCAGTAACTCAGAAAAGGAAAGTGGGCCCTGTCCCAGGCTGTGCTTAGTTTGAATGAGGAACTGCTGCCTCTGACTGAGGTTATTGTTGAGTGGTGGAAGGAGTTCTTCTAGTATCTTCTTAATCCATCCCCCATTTCCACCTTTTGAGGAGGCAGAGTCTGAGGACTCAAGGAAAGACAAGTCTTTTACTGTGGCAGAGGTCACCAAAGTAGTCAAAACCTCCCATGTGGCAGAGCGCCAGGGGCAGACAAGATTGGCCCTGAAATGCTGAAGGCTCTGGATATTGTGGGGCTGTCATGGTTGACACATCTCTTCATTGTTGCATTGAAGACTGGGACAATGCCCATGGTGTGATGGACCAGGTTCTCATTTTTAAAAAGGGGAACTGGAGAGTGTGTTCCGGCTATTGTAGAATTATTTTTTTACAGCCAGAGAGAAAGTTAACTTCAGGGGGTTGAATGGAAGGGGGAACCAATTGTTGAACCTCAGCTTCAGGAGGAGCAGTGTGGCTGACTTTCATCCTAGTTGAAGAATAGCAGACAAGATCTTCACCCTTGCAGGATTGCAGGGTGATAGGAATTAACTCTCCAGTCTACATGGGTTTTGTGGACCTGGAGAAGGCTTATGTCTGTGTTCCCCGGTGTATTCTGTGCAGGGTACTGCAGGAGTATGAGGAGCCAACATTGCTTTTAAATCCTGTGTGGTCTCCGTATAACCAAATAGGAGCTGCGTTTGTGTTCTTGGCACAAAGTTGAGCTTGTTCTTGCAGGTTGCATTCCGCCAGGGCTGTCCCTAATCTCCAATCCTTTTTGTTTTGTTTATGAACAAGATCTCAGGATATGGATAGAAGGGTGTCTTGTTTGAGAACCTCAAGGTCTCATCTATGCTTTATGCAGATGATGTGCTTCTGTTTGTGTCTTCAGGCCAAGACCTTATGCACTGGGGCAGTCCTAACTGGAAACAGGAGGAGTGCAGCCTGTTTAAGCATCTGGCAGATAGAGCAAGAGATGGATCAATGGATCAGGAGCTCTGTCATCCAGAGGGAGCTTGGAGTAGAGCTGCTGCTCTTATAAAATGTAAGGAGTCATCTGAGGAGGCTCAGAGCCTGGGGCAAAACCAGGACTTGCTGGTGGAATTTTTTACCCTCTCTGGTCTGGGAACACCCTGAGATTCTCCAGGAGATGCTAAAGAGTGTTGCTGGGAAGAGGGATATTCTTGTTTCTCTCCTGGAACTATTGCCTCTGCAACCCAGCAATGACTAAGTGGTAGAAGTAGGAGATGAGAGAATGTGTTTCTGTACTCTTAGGTTAGATTTGAATCATTTTAGAATCAGGTTAAAAAAACACTTTTTAAAAATATGTCCTAATATGTAAAACCCAAGAATTGAAAGAAACACCATCTACAAAAATACCTGCATATCTATTTCGAATATTCACATATCAAAAGGGTGTACTGTGGTCCTAAAAGTCCTGAACACTGGACACAAACCTCTGAGTCACTGATGGCCAGAGGCTCCAGCATCATCCTGTTGTGTGACTCCAATGTTTTTTTACTCACACTGAGGCTGTTTGTCAGGGGCAGTCTCGTTACTGTTTCTTGCGCCGCACAAAGTGAGAATCTAGAAGAAAAAGTAAACATGAAAAATCGTATTCAAAGGATTTCACAAACACACTAATGAGCTAAATATTTCTGTAAAATAGACACCTGAGGGAAGTTTTACAAACCATGTCAAAAACCTTTAATAGAGTATTTGGCCATTTAGAAAATCCATTACTACAGCACAAAACCTGAAATTTTAACTATTGTGGTGTGGTCCCTCATAAATTAACCTTTCAGTTATTACCTTGAGCAGTGTGCATATATCCTGCAAAACCTGTTGCCCCAACCCCCAAGTATGAAAAATATTTTGGGCTTATTGTAGTATAAAAAACCCATTCTTTACTTGTTTCCTTGTCAGCACACATTTAGAAAGATTAACTCGAAAGTTTATACAAGTGAAAACTGTTTGTTTAGGAGAATAGCTCCTGAATCACTGGAGGGTTTTTAATGAAACTCTGAGAAAGTAATAATTGGATGTAGCTCTACAACGGACAACCTTTTGGAGCCAACTCAATTCAAGATGGACACCTCAGCCAACTGAACTCTCCAACAGAAAAAAAATTCACCTGAGGCAACATTCCAATTATTCATTTGCACACGAATACCATAGGACACTGTTACATTTCTGTCTGCAGCTGTAACTCCTGATAAGTCTTACACACTAAAAAAGTCTCCTGAGTAAATTGTGTTTTAATAGTTTCTGATGCAGGAAAATATATATTTTTAATTAATTAATTAATTAATTTTACTATGGCTGTGTAAAACAACTCGACTGTGTCTTAACATGTAGAAAAAAATTAAAGAATAACTCAGAGCTCAAATTTGAAAGAAATACAAAAACACAGCTAACTCCAGACATCACACACAAAAACATGTTATATCAGAAAAATTCAAACAAAATGAAACAATATTTCAATCTACTTGATTGCTTCTTTGGGGATGTTTGCTTTTGGACTCACTGTCTCACAAAAGATCCATAAATAAATGGAAAAGGGAAAAAGACAGGAAAAGGCTACATTTGGCAGAAATAAGTTAAAAGAGCATTAAAGCTGAAATTAGCAGAAAATTCTGAACAAAAGTGGAACTGAGCAGTTTAAAGGTTTTAAACAGCTCAAATGATTTGAAGGATGTGAAGAGAGCTCCATTCATTTTCAATGAGAAAAACATGGCAGACAAAGTTAAATATATCAAAAAGTAAAAATTGCACAAAATCCAAAAGTCACAGCAGGAAAGTCCTGAATGAGTTGAACAGTTTGATGCATAAATTGTTGAAGAAAAACTGCAGAATGAGTTAAGAGCTGAAATACGTACGGAAAAAGAAAGATCTCATTAGTGTGAATGATTTTTAGGCATTCACACAACAAGCAAATTACGTTTACCTTACAATGACTACATACTGTTTGATGCTGTATTTGCATAAAGGTAAAAGAAACATAGTAAACTTAATAAGAAGTCTTTTGTAATGATATATCTTCTATAAGACCAACATTATTATTTTTTGTGGTCTGACAAACCTTTTAACAAAGTAGAGTATAAATGAAGGTTAATATGGTTTGAAAGAAAACTCTCCAGTGTTGTGTCAGTCCAGTGTGCAAAAGGAAATGTGTTTCTACAAATATGTTATGGTACAACTATGATTCATTCTGGGAATTGAGACAGATTGTCAGTTTCTGTTTGATCTTTTCTTTGTCGTGTACAAAACTTTTATAATTACATTAAATTTAATCGTTTAGAATGGATGTTTAGATTGCTATGAGGGACATAATATTGTATCAGCTGGCAGATTTAGTGATTTGAGTCTAAAAATAGCTTTTAAATTAAAACTGGCAATTGAAATTTTAGATGCATTTTGAAAGCCTTTAGTCTATAATTCAATGTAAACAAGCATATATTTATCCTGATACATG